GTATTTTTATTCTTTTGGATGCTATTATAAATGGAATTGTTGTATTAGTTTCATTTTTGTATTGTTGATTGCTGATGTGTAGAAATATACTTTTGTATTGTTGATTGCTGATGTGTGTGTATCATTCTTATATCCTGCAATCTTGCTGACCTCACCTATTAGCTCTTAGAATTTTTATTTTTGTAGATTTCATAGGATTTTTTTTGTATGTAAGATTATAAGAGCTGGGTATGGTGGCTCACACTTGTAGTCTTGGTCGTATTGAGGCTGGTCTTGAGCTCCTAATCGCAAATGATTCTCTTTGATCCTCCCAGAGTGCTAGTATTACATGCATGAGCCACCACACCCTGCCTCTTTTTCTTTTTATTTTTTTTTTTTTGAGGCAGAGTCTCTTGTTGCCCAGGCCAGAGTGCCATGGCATCAGCCTAGCTCACAGCAACCTCAGACTCCTGGGTTCAAGCAATCCTCTTGCCTCCAGCTCCCAGAGTGGTAGGATTATAGGTGTGGGTGTAGTGCTTAAATTTTGATTTGTATAATGGTATATTCATGTTTTGTTTCTCCTGCTAGATTATAGGCTCACTGAAGACGCAGCCCATATTGAATCTTTGTGTCTTTCTATTTTTTATATTTTTCTTATTTCTTTTTTAAAACATCTATTATAAAAGGGCATTTTCTTGGCTGGTTCCATTGGGTTAGAGCAGTTGGCTAAAGATTTTCAGTATGTTGGGGGGTGTATATGGTTAAAACAACAAAAGTAGTTAAGAGTAGCAGCCTATGTTAGGAGAAAGCGGAAAATAGAAATGAGTAATTGAGGCTAGATGCCGTCATCCACACCCGTAATCCCAGCACTCTGGGAGGATCCTTTGAGCTCAGGAGTTTGAAACCAGCCTGAGCAAGATTGACACCCCATCTCTATGAAAAATAGAAAAATTAGCTGGGTATCGTGGTGGGTACATGTGGTCCCACCTAGGAGGAGCCTGAGTCAGGAGGATTGCTTGAACCCAGGAGTTTG